TATTATTATTATTATTATTATTATTATTATTATTATTATTATTATTATTAATTTCATGATTGCCAAGAACATCAAAAATTTCAGGAAGAAATTCACTCTTTTAGTGAAATCCTACTAAAGACAATTCAGTGCACTAAAGAACAGTCCACCTTGCCTCAAATATATTCTTCAGAGTGTGGGTAGCTTAAGTGTCATTGTTTACAAATGCAAAGCAGCTGTAAATTTTACATAAAATACCTTACAAATGGTTAAATGGCCAACCTTTTAGCAATGATTTAGTTTCAAAGTCATCAAAAGATTTACTATTGTCCCACGGCTTAATACAAGTACATAACAAAAAATCTAGACAACCACAGAAAATGCAAAAAAAAACCTTGCGGGTTTTCCAAGAGTACATTTTTCACTGACAATAAGGAAGGAAGTAAAAACATATTAGAAAGTCTTAGTAACTTCTTTAGGGGGTACTGCACTAACATCTGCTGTGGGTTAAAAAATTTGCATATAATTGAAGGTGATAACCAGAAAAACCCACACCTCTAATGTACAATCAGAAATAATTTCCATTAAAAAAATAGACAGCCAAAATTTTTCAAGGCTATAAATTATGTAGGATGCATATGTATGGTGTATAAATATCTTTTTCCGTTTGCTTTTTCCCCTTTGTTTACTGTTCATTATCATAACCAAGAACACAGGAAAACAGTTTCATAATAATTTCAAACCGAAAATAAATTTAACCCACAACAGTATGGGCACCGGTAATTATCCACTGTACAGTACCTTAACAGTTTCAATTTCAAAGCAAACACTTAAATTCACTTGTGGAGAAGTTTTAAAAGGTTTCCTCAAAAGTTGAATCATGCAAAATCCTGGTGTGACAAAACCTGGTCGTAAAGTTTGTAGATTGGCTTATTTTATTGAAATAACGTATTTGACTGTCTAGTATTGGTCTAACAACGAAATAATACACGTATCATTACAATTAGCTATATAGAAAACTGCTCCTTCACAAACACGGTTTCGGATCATCAGGATAAGATGTTAGGAACAATAAACAGATTTACTTAAATATTTCGATGTGCAATGCGTTGCTACTGAGCAACAAACAAGAACAGAACTATGAATATTGTCGTTCCGTCGTTAGTTGTAAAGCTATAAATATTACATGTAAGCTTTCTACATACTCCACTAAAATGAACAGTATAAAGTTACAACCAAGCCCGGTATAACATGTTTTTTAAGGTAAACAGTCTTCACCAGTGCGAATACAAAGGAAAGGAAGGCCAGAATCCTTCAATAAAACTAAAATAAGACAGATGGATTAAAGGGCATGTGATGCCGAGTAGAATTCAATTATAATTCCATTCTTTTATTATAAAGGGTCCTAAAGAAGTACATGCCGGCAAAGGTATTACACCTCCACGCGGTATTAAAACTACGGAAATGGGAGAGGAAAAAGAAACAAATTTGACTTTGGAGTATCGTAAATGGTGTGTTACCTAAACAGATGAATAAAAAGCCCAAAATCAAGCGAAATAGAGTTATCAGCTAAGATTCTTCAAAACCTATCGGATGTGTTGAATTATAAAATTACCTTGGTCTGTTATATCGTCTACAAAGCCTTCTGGATCGTCATATTCCGACTCGTCTTCATCACCATCGTCTCTACCATTAGTTACATCATCTTCTTCGTCGTCTTCTTCTTCTTCTGAGTCGCTACTGCCCGTCTTTTCTTCAAATTCTTTCTCGTCCGCCATTTTCCCGATCATGGCCGCGAGCGCACGGAGAAACACGTGCACAGTGACGTGTAGTGGGAGGACCTGGGGCGAGTAACCACAGAGCGCGAAGGATGAACAAATATGTTATGGACCTCGCAAAAGAAATGACCTTTTTAATCTGCTTTTCTCGTGTCATTCGATCATGACATTTACTAACAGGTATGATAACTTAATTTTGCTTTTTCCCATTTTATTTTTAAGTTTTTCAAAGGCTAAAAAGATTGCACGAGCTCGTAATTGGTGTTACAAATTTGCACTCGTGTTTCAAATTTACACTGGTGTCACATGAACACTGCACTCCTTTTTAGCGTTTTTAGTCAATCAGAATCGAGTAACATTTTCACGTGTATTTATGATTATTTATATTACATTGTCCGTGAAGTACCCGTAACAATCTAGGGCACTGAGGCTGAGTGAAAGCCAAGGTATCTAAAACGAGATGACGCTAGGTGGGGGATGCATTCCCTTTGTAAGGATTTTTCATTCCTGAAGTAAGATAATGTAAGAAGTTCAATTTTTAATCACTTTTTTAGCAGAAATGGTTTAAAAACAGCTGCTTTTGAGCACTCTTACCATTTTCATTCTGTGACAGTGTCTTATCATAAGGAACCCATTAGGTTCCAATCCAAGGAGGCTATTCCCTATAATACCAAATAGCCTATGACAGGGAGGTGCTGCCCGAAAGTGGTACCTTTTTCAGGCTTCAGGTATATAAAAGAGTGGGGATTTCACAAGTTGAGGTATATGAAAGGGTAAGGAAATCTGTCAATTTTGGTATTTTATACAGACACACCTTGTGGCTGTATCTGGTAATGCTTGATGTTCTCCCAATTAATGGTACACAAAAGGGGTACTGGGCTAAGGGGTTGGACCCTGGGACAGTGCCTCCCCATGTAAAATTCCGTAGATTACCCTTTGCTGTTTTTGATTAGCAATAAATAAAAGCAAAACAAAAGTTAATTTTCACTCGCTCTCTTTTTATTTTGCACCACACATGGAAACAAATAAATTGCTTGGTCTGAATTGTTTTATTAATACACAGTGCATAAAAAAATTAAATTTTGACTAGACTCGATGAAAGTAATGGTTTCTTTAAATAGCAGACCACAGTATTCTATAAATAAATTATTCAAAGCCATACTGTTACTACTAAACTGCCACTGATGAACTGTAGACCTGTTTCCATGGTTGCCATACTCAGGCTTTCATTAGGGCCCAATCAATACACAATGTCGTGGGCCAGGATGGGTGTAGTCCCAAAAGGGGGACCCGTTTTAGATTAGAGGTATATAAAAGTGGGGTATCTCCTAGGCTGATGACGATTCCCTACTGCTTTACAGACTAAGGGAGTAACCGTCATTTAAGAAAAAAATTTGTCATCAAGTCAGAAATAAAAGCAAAACCAATCGGGACTTGCTCACATGTTTTCTCACAGTTCATGTCTGCTACATGTATTTGCTTTGAAATTTGACTGGTTTTGTGGATTTTCTGTGTCTGTTGTGATTGGCCCCAGAGTAACTGCTTCAGTTTTGATTTTATAACACTCAGCTGAAAACTGCACTAAAGGGTCCTTCCAACAGACACACCTTAAAAAGCTGAAAAGTTAGGAAACATTTCTCTATTATTAGCCAAAATTACCAGTTTCCTTCATGTACTACCAGGCACCACATGAAAGGGCTATATGTGAAAAATGGTACAGGTGTGGACCTCAGGACAGAACCTCCCCCACCTCATAAAATGAAGTTGAGTAGCTCCCCTTCCACAGGAAAAATCTCTCCTTGATAGATTCCATTTCCCAAAGTAGGAAGGTTTTGTTTGCTTTGGTAGATCATCATTGCACCATAGCATCACAACACATGGCTACATTTACACAATGTTCCTCAGTGACTGTTACATCCATCACTCACAGAAATCCTAAGGGAAAATTTCTAAAAATAATGATTCCCAGTAAGTGTGAAAGAGCATAATATCACCCTTTCCAAATGTTGGTTTCCATACAAATAAACACATTTCACTTTTTAAAAATATATAACACAGGGCCAAATGTTTAAATTCAATAAACTGTAACATTTACCTTAAGGATACCATGAAACTTTTTCAGGTTTAAAGGCACATCAGATTCAAGAATTTAAACATTTTAAAATGTTTTGCCCTGTACTATTTTATTTCTTAGGCTACTTAACAACACATTGTTGGCGTCAGAATAAAATTTAAAAAAATAATGAAATGACCATATTTACACTGAGTAGGTATTTGAGTTTCAAGCTGGGCCTTCTACTTACACAGTACTTGTCTTAACTTTTACTACTAAATCTCATTTTGTTTTTGACATTGAGGCCCAGTTCAGATGTCATACTTCTGCCATGCTGAACTTGATTGCAGTTTGGTTCGGCTGTAGCATGGCAGGAAAACAACTCTGATTCATTTGTCATGCCAGAGTCAAACCAAATTCAGGATTTACTGATGCCCTGTAACAATTGTCTTCCTAACTTCCCGTGGGAACACAATCTTGCCAAAATACATTAACACAGGTTATGAATTTTGTTTGGTGCAACAAAAGCATGATGTTTGAATCGCTGCCATGCCAGAGTCGTGTAGCACGGCAGAGCTTGTCAAACTTAATTGCTCACTGTACTTAATTCAAAAGTTTGATTCAGGCGCCGTGCTTCTGCTTTGCTTTTGTCGAACTTAATTCCTAAATTTAGTTTGGCATGGCAGAAGGACAACGTCTGAACTGAGCCTGAGGATTGCAAATGTGGTGCAACTAAACAATAAAGAAACTGCTCGGGCATTTTCACGTTTGATTAAATATTGCTTGCTTCAACTGAATTTTATGATGTTTGGAGAATTTGTTCAGCATTTCCTTTGTAAATTAGAATTTTTTGAAATTGCAAACCTTGAGGGGCAACAAAATTTGGACATTTGGCCTACTTGCTCAACCTATTTGGCAGTTCTCAGAATAGCAAATTTGCATGTTGTCATCATTTGACTACTACTACCAGAATTCCTTTCGTTTTCTCTTTATTATTTAAATTTTGAAGCCCCAGTGGGGTTTAAATAACAATTACTCTAATTAGCATAAGAAACACAAAAAGTGAACACTTCTGGTAGTTGCAGTCAAATGACGCCATCAAATCGCCTGTTGTTACCATCCAACTATCTTGCAAGTACATAACAATAGTTGTAACAGTTAAATCCCTGGGTTTATCAGAAGAATTGGTTACACTAACCAAAAATAATCTCAATAATAAGATGTATGACGGAGGAATTAATGTTACTTACAACTGACCTAAATATATTTAAAGTCAGCTGATTCCCCTCAGAGGAGCATGCAGGTGTACAGAATGAAACTAATTGGGAGATAAAAATCTTTATACAAATTATAGCAAAGAGCATTTCATTCTAATGTTGAGGAAGAAAATTGACAGTAAGCTTGCTGATTCTAAAAATATACCTCTTCTCTCCGGAAAAGCCCTTGGCACTGTGTACGTTATCAGTGTCTCAATAAGCTTTGAATGTACATGTCTCAAATTGTTTGATTTCCAAATGCCCCCTGTGCGAATAAATATTAAAGCCTGTGAAATTGAATAAATAATAGGACCAGCTGTCAATTTCAATTAAAAACTGCACGCAAAAGATTTTTATTCGCGTCTCCTACATTGTAAAGTGCCCATTGTTGAGTCTATGGAAATTACGAATTCTGGCTTATTCTTTCTTTATATGTTTGTGTTTGGTGCGGGCGGAATGATTGTATCAATCGCAAAGTAAACAGTATTTAACTTCAAATACCTCAACTACTTATAAGCCCAAACGGATCTCTAGTTTCGGCGTAAGTTTTAACAGATCCTCACCAGTTAAAGTTTCGCTGCACCATAGAATAAAATTTCTCATTAAGTGGATGAAAATATTCGCGTAAACGCTTCAAAACCTCTTCGTGTACAGCAGGATGTTTTCGTCCTTTTGTCTCACCCATGCAGTGCGCTCTGCTCACAATTCCGCTGTTTGAGATTTTGCCCACAAAGCATGGAAATCCTTTGCTTTCGTTTAAGTAGAAGTTGTTCTCTGTAATGAAGGGTTTTATGTTGAGAAATCGTTCGACGAGTTTGATCTCCTTCGCGGGCCTTCTGATCAGTTCTTCTCCGCTCACAAAGTGAATTTGACTGAAAGGGAAGTATTTCAACCACAGCGCGAGGTGTTCGGCGTAACGCCCAAACGCGATTTTACTCCAGTCTTCGTCAACTTCACCATTATCTTTGATTGCCATTTCCTCAAAAGGCGGGTTGTCGGGTTTTCGTCCTAGCGACTGCGTATAATCCGATATAGCTCGTCGTGTTGGGTCGCGCACGATCACAATGAGTTTAACAGACTTGGACATTCGATACACTCTCTCCGGTACTGTTGGAGTAATGAAATAACTCGGTGATTTCTCGATTGTGACTTGACCCGGTAACGAAGTTGGCATTTGTTGGCGATACCACTCGAGCCCTTGCTCGTAATTTTCATCTCGATCGAAGAAATGAACTTCGCTGCTAGACGCTCGAATGCTCGGATGAATCTTTAAAATTTCCAGAAGCGCGCGCGTTCCTCCTTTCTTCACACCGATTATGATAGCATTTGGAAGTCGCTTCCTATTTTCTCCCTCCTCGAGGTCAAATTCAGAAACATCGCTATCTTCATCATCTTCAACTTGACTGTCGAAATTCAACAACTGTTTCCGATCGCCTTGTTTTGATGCCGAAGACAGAGAATAATTCCCTTTCTTGTCAACGCCTTTGCTAGAGTACTTGTCGATGTGGGAGCCTCTCTGACCGCGACGACCAACATCTTCCGGAGTTTTGCGTTTGGTTTCTTCTTCGAAAAATTTCGACGGAATCTTCTGCTCTCGACTGGAAGTATCGATCGGATTTAATGTTGTTTTGAAATCCGACGACGCTACCGAAGACACGTGTTCTAGATTCGAACTTTGTCGAGCAGTCCGGCTCGTTGTCCGTGACTTGACATCAGACGAAATTGTCGGTTTCTTGTCCAAATTTTTCAAACTATTTAGATGGGGAACCTTCAGCGTGCGGTTGTTTCTAGAGGTGTTACCGTAAAGTACATACGTTGAAATCGCTGAAACCACAAGAAGTAGAATAAAAAGGCGCTTGCTCCTGGAAGAAAGCTTGTCTAGGAACGACTTGCCGCGTTTGCATATCATGAGCTTTTCTCATGTCCTCTGTTGTTCAGCCAGTTTCCAACTTTAACAAGCTTTTAAATTTAAGCATCAAAACAAGACCATCAGTTCGCCAGCAAAGATTTTAGCGATAGCATACTCGCAAACCGTTCGTTGCGATTTTCTGAAGCGTATGTAAATAGCTTGATAGTACCAGCGATGTGATTGGGTAATGGGACAATGCTTGTCATCGCCTCGGCTATCATAGGCCCAGCATCTCAATCAGCGCTTGATCAGCGCTTTATATTGGCCGGGAGAAATATATTTACCTGATAATTACTTTAATTTATATGCATATTGTGTAATAAATGGCAGATATATTTAATAGTGGGGATATTAGCTGACAAAAGCCATCTTTTGCCCTGAATTTGATGCCCCAATTTCAGCGGAATCTCCCGCTGTAAAGGTACGTAAGTAGACAGCGGAAAGGGGGAAAAAGAAGTGATCGTACAGTATTTGTTTTCAGTGAATCCTTTGATAAATCCGCGGGGAGCTTGTTTTTTCGAGTATCCGACCTCCAGGTCGAGGACTTTAATACTAAAAAATAGAACTGTTCGGGAGTCGGAGGGGGTTGTTGTCGCTGGAGTGGACTGGAGTGGTGGCTCAACGAAATGTTGCGCTCCTACTTACGTTATTACCCATGTAAGCACTTTCAATATTTGCTTAGCCTCGTGATCAAAGGTCTGTTTTCACTTATACTCCTCTGTCTTTGTAGCGCGCATGAAGATTGCAATACCAGTGACGTCAAAGAAGGGAAAACTAAGCGCGTACAGGAGCCCATGACCTCCTGGCGTGTTTGGTATCCTGCTTCCTCCTTGTATAATTCATGCCCAACAAAATGAAAATGTAAAGACTCTCTAATAACCTCTCATCCTATTAAGCCGTCGGCGCCGCGCACACCTATATCAGTGCGGTTCGTCAATATATTCTCAAATGACGAAAAATGTCTCTCGCACAAGGAATTTAAAGAAGAACTTAGGGCCTGATTACATGGCGAATTTCAGCCTGGTTAG